GTCTCGATTTAATCAGACGTGGGTTCTTTCTTTGGTTAAACAGAAAGATCAGGGAGAGAGGGAGAGAGAGAGAGAGAGAGAGAGAGAGAGAGAGAGAGAGAGAGAGAGAGAGAGAGAGAGAGAGAAAACCACGCTCGTATAATCCATTCAGCCGACTGAATTTTTAATTAATGAACAACACATTCCATGTAAAGCACACGTATGTATTTACAGGGAAGACCAAGCTCGAAATTTTATGTCAACAAACGGAATCACAAAACGGTATTTCATAAATGTAACCTCCGAAAAAAGCAACACCAAAAAATCCCGAACCAAACGAAGAAAGCATTGCAAAAAGCAGACTGCAGACCGGTCAACTAGTCCATAAATAATATATTCTGCTTCTGAACTGTAATTGATCGCTCTACAATTAATTTACTGTTGTACCGGGGGCTCTCTGAGCAATCTTGTCGGGAACTGAAAAGGTCATTAGTTAGTTTTCCCCCAACGCGCATGCGTGGTGAGTCAAAGGTCGCCTGCCGGGAAGACAAAGTTGCCCTGGTCGCCAGTGACCAGTGACCGTATATGGACTCGACAGTTGTGAGTCGTGAGTGTTGGTGCGGTTTGACTTTGAGTCTGAGTAAAGAGAATGGCAACGACACGATTACGTACAGGGGAAGAATGCAAAATTAAACTTTTCGTTTAAATGTAGACATATTATAATTTACACCTTCATCGACACATTTAAGTTCATTTAGGATGCAGGTTTTTTTTCGACCCTGCCAGTCGCGGCCAATCTGACCCGGGCCGAGAAGGATACAACGTTCTGTAGGTACATGGTCATCATAGATTCTTGTACCGCCTTCAGTTCGTCGAACCTTCTTGAACGATCAACTAGTCTAAGACAATCACTGACCAAAACTGAATCGATAGTGCCGTAAAACACTTACTCAAACAAACAAACGAGACAATTACGTGTTCAAATACAAACCACAACTTCCCACTTCCGCCTTGATTCTCTCTCTCTCTCTCTCTCTCTCTCTCTCTCTCTCTCTCTCTCTCTCTCTCTCTCTCTCTCTCTCTCTCTCTCTCTTTAATATTAACACTGTCCAAGACGACCCATCTGTCTAAAAGGACCGCTTTTCTGTTTGGCAATGGGTGGTCGTCTTAAACAGGTCCAACAGTTTTCTCTGAACAGGGTCAAGTGCACAGTCCATCCGTCAAGTTTCTGTAGTGATTTATTACAACTGGTTCTGGTCTTCAGAGAAAAGAGCCCTCACCCCCCACCCCACCCTGCCCCGCCAAAACTCTCTCCCGAGTCTGCATTATGTTATTTTTCTCTGTCCAGTCGTATCTGATAAGTGTCCAGGGTTTATCTCACCAGACATGTCCTTCGCTGTCCACTGGACCATGTGCTCTGATCTGCAGGTCAGCGGGGGATGTGTGCTCCCCCCCCATCCGTCACTCTATGTCTCTCTCTCCCCTCCTCTCTCTCTCTCTCT